CGTAGAAAACATGGTCCAAAAGGTCCATCATGTGCTGTAGTTTTGGGGTGCCTGTGAATTAGCCAAGTCAGTTCTGAAACTTGACTCACCATTTTTGAGAGCCAAGCTGTGCATTTAATCAGCTTTCATCAGGAGGAATTTGGCATCTCTACCAGAGCAACTGCTCTGGGCTCTTCTCTATTCTTTCCCCAGGTTTCTCAGTCTCTGTGGGCTTTGCAGGAGGAAACTTGAAGGAAAGAAATTTAAAAGATCCAAACCAGATTTTGTGGAGTTGACAGTGTGTGGTCTACATTTTATTTTTATTTTCGTTATTTTGGTTTTTTGCTTTTAAAGGAAGATAAAAAGATACTTTAATTTAAAACTGCTATTAATTGCACTAAACATCTTTGTCAAAGTAAATCTCTTGACTGTGACTTCTGTCTAGATCAGTTATGAAGGCAGGCTGAACTACAGTTTTTAGAAGGCTTAAGTTTTTAAGGTATTTTTGTTGAGGTATAATTTACATACAGAATTTACCCTATTTGGTGACACTGTGAGTTTTGACAAATATATGAAGTATAATATCAGTACAGTCAAAGTATAAACCATCAGCCCAAAAAATTTCTTGGTGTGTCTTTATGGTCAACCCCTCCCTTGGCCACCAGGTCCTGCCAATCAATAATCTGTTTTCTGCACTGGAATTTTATATACATAAATAAATAAAATCCTATTCCTTGAGTATTTTGTTCTTATCAATTCCAAAGAAGTTATATAAGAATGAGATGAAATTATTTTTTTAAATCCCAGTAGGAACATTAATGTTGATTCTTTATGATATTGTCAAAAAAGAAATTGGTAAGGGGTTGGATTTACATTTACAAGGTAGTTTATACAGAGTTGATGTTTAATTTCAGGTTTCCTAGTGAACACAGCACACAAGTCAGGTTTGCATGCTCAAATTATTTTTCCTGATGCAGGTGTTGCACACGTGTTACACCCACACTTGAATATTTATTGATGAACAGCTGATATTTGGCTCTTGTGAGTTGATGCTGCAAAGCGCCCCATGAAAGTAGGAATTAGGTTTCATGAATGAAGTATCATGTCACATTATCATTTTTGTGTGAGAGACACAGAGGCAGCCAAGCGATCAGCCCAACTGAAATATTCCCTTGGTCTCCAGAGTATTTATAATTCTTCCCACATAACACCCAGTATCTCCGGTCTCAGCTGATTCCTCCCACGAATTTTCTCATTTCCAAATGACTGACTCTGCGGTTTACCTTCTGTTACAGATTTCTTTGGTGGGGGAAGGAGACAGGGTGTCCCCCACCTCGCCAAGCCCAGGCTCCACCCCCCACCCCCACCTCAGTAGTGGTGCCCTTGGAGCCAAATAGTGCTTCATCGCTGGGCTCCTTTGATTTCATGTTGTACATTTGGGGAAACAGAGGCAGAGGGTGGCTGGGTTTTTCAGGATTGACAGGCAACTGGGTGACTCTGCTGGAGATGGAACAGGCCCAGAGAACCCAACGCGAACATCCTAGCTACACCCATTACGCATTCATTTCCCAGAAAACTGGAGGAGGAGATGTAGGCTTGGGGATCCCCCAGCACTGGGTTCAAACCCCATCCTTTCATTTACCAGCTGTAATCTTGGGGAGTTAATATGTCTTTTTTGTAGCGTCCTTTCTTCATCTATAAAATGAATGTAAGAATACCTGAGAGTTTTAGTGGGGATTATCATTCAACAATTTTTCCGTTCCACAAATATTTGAGACTGGCTATTTTCCACACACTGTTCTGAGTGCTATGCTGAGTCTCTTCTCTTGAGACACTAATGTGTCCTCGTGAAGAGAGAGAAACAATAAACAAACAGGTAACGTGACAGGTAAAGTAAGTGCTGTGAAGAAAATTTGAGTAATTCCATCAACATGGAGAAGAAATTGGAGGTTGCTTTGAGATAAAGTGGTTAGGAAGTGGTAACTCTTAACTCTGATGAGCAAACAGTTCAGCAGAGACCTAATGGAGTGGCCCAGGTTGACTAGCATCTGCAGAGTCCTGAGTGGAACATTTGTGGGGCGTTGAGGAGGCCTGTCACCAGTGAGGCAGGGGCGTGGCGGGAAAGGGGACAAGGAAGAGGTCAGTGAGATGGGTGGGGGAAGGGTGGGCTGGTCAGGGAGAGCCCGTAGCCCCTCACGAGAGTCTTGGGTTTTGCTCTAAGCAACATGTGGAGACATACAAGGGTTCCAAAAAGATGCATGGTCAATCTGCCTTACATTTTAAAATAATCACTCTGGCTGCTAAGCTGAAAATAGACTATAGGTGGGCAAGAAGAAAACGGGTGATAACGAGAAGGTCATCTGAGTGATCTAGGTGAGAGATGGTGGTGGTCTGAGTTAGGAAAATACAGCAGAGGTAGTGAAGAGACATTAGGTTTCGAAGGTCACTGTGGAATTTGCTGATGACTTAGATGTGAGGTATAGAAAAACAGGTGTCAGAGGTGAGTCCCAATTCTTTGGCCAGGAAAACTTGAAGCAAAGAGTTGCTATTTGCTGAAGTAAGGCAGACTCCAATGCAAGTTGAGTTTGGAGGGAAATCAAAAGGCAGGATGTCCGTTAGATACCCAAATGGAATTGTCAAGTTGCCAGTTGAATCCAAGAGACTATGTGGTAGGGGGAGATCAGGGTGGAGATTAATCAGAAAATTGTCAGTAGGGAAGTGAAATCTGGACAAGATCATTCAGGCTTTGTTGATGGGGGAGGCGCCCCAAGCTTTAGAGGAGATGAAGCGGAATCAATAAAGGAGGCTGCTGAGTGGGACAGGAGGCAGGCAAAGGGCATTTCAAACACTGCTGGGAGGCGGGTGAGACCAGGGGCCCATGTTCTGTGGTACAGTGGATGTGAAGGGCCCAAGACAGCCATGGACACAGCAAGTGTTTAGTTAAATTTAGGTGTTCCCCGACATCCCCCCCTTTATTTTCCAGGTTTGACGACAGAAAACCTCACCCAAGTGAGTGACTAAGCCAACCTCAGGATACTGAAAGCCATACTTTGTGAAATACTGTTCTGTGTCACTCTGGCTTTAAATCTACTTAAGACAAAACTCAGCCCTCCTGGGGAGGCTGGGCTCACATTCCACAACTTCCAAATTAGGACTTTATAGGTATCATCTCTTTAAAATGTAAAAACAGTAAGTCATAAATGTGCAATTCTGTTACCTGTAAAGAAGGATGGAGAGGGGAGGAGACCATTTTGAAGGGGTTGGCATGATGCCTTCACATTGATTTATTTCTCATTACCTTTGTATTTTTTATATATGAAATGTCAATGTTTGCATGTTCACTGCCATGGTGGTAGGTAACTTGGCTTTTCGACTAGTTCCCTATCTACATTGTAGTGAATAAATGGAACCCAGCAAAGTCTCCTATTATCTATGTATGATTTTCATTTTATAAATGCTGCCTCAACATACTCTGAAATAAGCCCCTTAAAATTTTTTATGATGCTGACCAAGTTCTAGTCTTATCAATGAAGGACATGTTCAGCAAGTTGTACAGCACTTCACAGTTTACAGAGCCCTCTCTCACAAAAAGCATTTGAGCCTTAAAATAACCCTGTGAGGTAGGCATATTAGTTAGATTAACTTGAAGTTTTTCAAAACCCAGGATCTGTTGATCCTTCTCCCTCTGCTATATCCTGTGCTACATTGATTGTTTCCTTTCTTAGCTGCAGGGGAAAGCTAAACTATTCCTATGTTTAAATACCTGTTGAGAAATTAGACCAATAAGTTGGAAATAAAATGACATTCCTTGCATCTGAATTTTTTATTTGTTACAGGCTAAATTGTTATAATACTCAGGGTAGGGGGGTGGGGTGATAGATTTGGTAGAAAAACAGAGGAATGTTACTAGAGATACAAAGAATATGACAGATTTGAATCATTACAGCAAAATGCAAGATAGTGGTAGCGGACAGGTTCTTGCCTGTCAGCTTGAACCAGAACTCAAACTAAAATGATTTTTAAAAATCAAGAGAATTTTGTTATAATTATCATTCTATTCTTTTGGAAATTGCTTGTAGCTAAGACATGTTTCCATCAAATAGATTGGTAATGTTTTGAGCTAGTAAAACATTTTAACTAGCGTATCATATTTCCATTTTTTCTTTCTATATTATAAGAGGATACAGATTAGTAGTTTGAATTTTCTTCCTGTGTCTTGTGTTACTTAGTTACTACTAAGTTTTCTTTATCTATGATTTTTCTCTAAAAATATCTTCAGCCTGTCATAGTTAGTATATCACACTCAACCTTGCATTACACTTGCTTGTACATTGAGGAATGAATGTGGAAATCATATATTATCTTGCCTACCACAGTATAAGGTTTTAATCGCTGGGAAGGTGGCTGATTTCACCTTTGTTAACTTCTCAGAGCCTAGCTCAGGGCCTTGCACATAGTAGGGACTCAATAAACATTTATCAAATGAATCTTAATTAGTATTGGTAATTGTTATGTTGGCTGCATATTCAGTGGTAAATATAAAAGGAAAATGCCTAACAGCAATTAAAGGTATGGCCTTGTTGATTTATTTATTCCATTGATATGATGGGTATTGTTTTGCATGGACACAAACTTTATATTTGGCTATTTACCAATGTATCTTAACAAAAGTTACAGATGATAAACTGCTTTATATTTTTAATTCAACTTTTTACAAGAAAATTGTGTGGAGAGAGTGTGACTATAACCGACTCATAACACTTTCACATTATTTGAAAAACCCTTTATTTGTTGGCTTTAGACATACTTATTTCTATCTCTTGATTCTAGTAATGGGCCAGGTGTTCTGGAAATTGCATAATGTGAATATAACCCCATGGCAAAACATTCTTATACACTTTGAAAAGCCAGGATTATTCTTTACTTAACAAAAATTAGCCTTTTGTTTTAAAATTATACTTGTGTCTATGTTGACATTTTAATAGAAGTTATCTGAAGGTTTATTTTTTTGTACATAATAGAACAGGGAAACCCAAACACGAGTGGTTTCTCCAGAAAGATTCCGAAGGGGACACACCTTCACTTATCAACTGGCCTTCCAGGTATACCCTAAGCTGGAATTCTTGGCTTCCGTTGAGTGAGTGCCCCTGTTTACCTGCTGTCTTGCCATGCTGTGCCACGCGTCATCCCATGCTAACTCTCCTCTTGTCCTCTTTCTAATGGCCATGCATTTGAAAATTGTGTTAAAAAATGGGCCTCTGGAAATTGCTCTCTAACTATTTGCTTTTCACCTACAAATGCTAATAGTATTTTTCCTTGCTCTCCCTTTTTTCTTTTCTGAAATCTTTGAATAAGCCTTCTCTCCTCCTTCACCAGCTCGCATGCTGCCAGGAGGGGGCAGTAGTGAGGCCGTAACCAGCATCTCTTGAGTTTTTCTTCTCTGCAGTCAGACTAACCAGCTAGCGCCCCCTTTTTGCCAACACCTCCCCTCCGCCCAGCACCTCCAGCCTTTTTCCTTCCCTGTCTCCATTTCCAAACCAATCCTTAATTTTCAGCAGTTGCATTTAGGGCATGTGGTTTTAAAAGCAGACAAAAACCCCTATCATTTCATTTTTAAGGCGGGGGGGCAGGGAGGCAGAAGGAGCAAGAATGAGTAAGTCATTGACAGGACAAAGCACCCATCTATTGAGTTTCTAACAGTCACTTTGTTCCCAGCTGAGGACAACATTCAGATTGTCTCTGATTAAGGACACATTCCACAGGAGAACTTAAACCACATTTCAGCCTTCTTTTGACTAACAAAGCTTGTAAATATGAAAACCTCCAACACTGTCTAGTCTCTGGGAAAAATGACATCTCAGAATGCTTTTTTTCCAATAAATTGTTTGTGATAACTGCCTTTTATGTGGGACTTCGGTTTTTCCTTAATAAAATATACATTGATATCCTGCATTTTATGCTGAAAAACATGTAGTTTATATAAAATTTAGCAGGTTGCATTTGTTATTTCAGGAAATACTCTCTTCCAAAAATATATATCATAAACAGTAATTTTTGCTGACTAATCTTAAATTAATGAAGGTGTTAATATTCCCCCAAGAAATCACTTTTCCCACTCCACAGCATTTTTTTTTAACTTTTTAAAGGTTATCCTTAATCAGTAATCCATTTTTAAACCACTTGAATGGGTACTCCTTTGTCACTACATGGTATTTCAAAAAGTAAAAATAAAAACTTGTGAACACTATTAAATGTTTACTCTTTGCTAAGCACTAAGCTATATGCTTTGCAAACATCACATGCCACTTTGTCACGATTATATCCATTTAAAACATAAAGTAACCGAGGGCAGATAAGTTGCTGGAGAACACACAGTGAGAACTGGCTGAGCCAGGCTTTGAACAGAGGCCTCCTGGGATCCCATGGCTAGAGCTCTTGGCCACTTCGCATCTGCAATGATGGAAAAAGGTCTGTAGCTTTTAAAATGGATCTCAGTTTTGCTCTCAGATATTTAAATAGTTCTAGAAACAACCAGAGCAATCTCTTTTAAGGTTAGTTTTTAACTAAGGGCCTAATAGCAATTCCAGAAGGGAAAAAAATACTCAGCTCATTCATTCTTTCAACAAATATCTTTTCTCTAATATTCTTCTTGGTGCTATAATTGCTAGTAGTAATGATACCCAAACTGGTTGCTTGTCTTATGAATGAATGAATTTAGTATGCACTGCATGGAGAAGCTTGTGAATATTTAGTTGAGTGCTTGAAAAGAGGTATTGTTGTATCTTTAATTCAGTAAAAAAAAAATAATAATAATCATGAATACTTTTACATTTCCAGGAGACAATGAAATTACATTTGGTCAGGAGGTATCTGTATACCTGGAAACTACCTCCACGGTCCATATATAAGGCCTGTACATGAAAGCTTCCTGACTCATAGCACCAGCCCAGTGTGCTCTCATCTGTACTGGGTGGGGGCATGTACATTAATGAGTTTTTCTGTGGCTTCTGGGTACTCATTTAGTCAGAAGGCATCATCCTCTCCCAGGAGAGCCTGACCTCTCTTAGCTTTACAGCAGTAGAGCTACTTTCACACCCCAGGGACATACGTACACACATGTGGGAACAACTCAAAATCGGTCATCTGGCAAGTGGTGGGCTTCTGACATTCACCTCCAAAAATGCTTTTTCACAAGTTGTTCTCTCTCTGGGTTGATTTCCATTCACTAGTAATAGATGATCTGCTTATGCTTTCTTCCCATTCAGCAGTTACCATACTTTGCAACTTAAAAATCCTTTTTCTTTCTTGAAGAGTTAAAGTTAGAGAAAAATTGGTGAAAGAGGAGAGTGCTCGCAACAGTCCTGAACTGGCCTCAGAGTCCTTTACGCAGAGGAGACAGCAGCCAGGGCCAGACCGTTACATATCCTTTCCATCAGAAAAAACAGCCTTCGATAGGGTCCTGAGCAAGGCAGCCAGCTCTGCACGACAACCAATCCGTGGCTATGTCCAACAAGTAGATCCCATTCACACCGCCAAGCTGGTGCCCTCAGATATCTCAGAAAATGTATCTGAGTGCAGCTGGGTGGAATTAGCCACCCAGAATGTCATAAAGCCTCCCACCTTGAAGGTTCTACAAGGTGAAAGAAGGGATACCCCAGTTCTCCATATTTGTGAATCGAAAGCAGAAGAAGATGTGCTCTTGGCCGAAGCTCTCGAGAAAAGCAGGGAAACACTTTTGGCTTTGGAGGACCACGGGCTTGCGAGAAGTCGCAAAGACCCCTCTGAAAATGAAGCCTTTGGTAAGCCTGCAGTTAGCACAGTCATCTTAGAGCTTCAGAAGGAAGCAGAGAGCCTGCCACCCCCACCCCCGGCTCAGCACCAGCCCATGGAGCAAATGGGCAGGAGAGAGATGGTGGTGCATGTGCAGAATGAGCCTGGGTCCCCAGATACCAGGGTGACAGGTCACAAGAAGGAAGCACCCGTGAGGAGGCGCAAGGTCCTCACACGGTCCCTGTCTGACTACACGGGCCCACCTCAGCTCCAGGCCCTAAAGTACAAGGATGCAGCTTCAAAGCAAGAGCCCGAGCCTCAGATTGCTAAAGCCGAAGGGCCCCACTCGGAAGTTGGCATGCTGGACACAAAGGTCTCTGTCGCCCAGCTGCGAAATGCGTTTCTGGAATCTGCCAGTGCTATCAAGAAACCCGAACTGTAGGTGATGTTTCAAAAGTCCTCCCGATGTGTCACTTGCACGTCCTTGGCAGAATTATTCACTTCTCAACTTGTGTTGTGTCCTGCATTGAGTTATATTAGCTTAGCTCACAAGCGTGTAGGGCAGATTGTTCAGGAAATGGCTCAAAAACTACCATTCTGCTTCTGCTTACTAATGGGGAGTTGGAGTATTGGGTATCTTCTGTAATGTTCCACCTCGTTTACGTGCATGGGAGAGGCATGCAGCGGGATCTGGTGGTGTCTGCCTTGACTCACTGAGATGCTTAAACCTTTGCTTTATTCCCTCTTTCTCTGTCTCCCTGTTACCCTTCTGTACACTCTTCTCCCAATGATTCTAAAAGCCAATCACGGGTTGAAAGGTCAACCGAAGGCATAGGCTTGCCTACCAATGTGGAACAGGAGAGAGGGACCCGGAAACCAAGACGCTATTTTTCTCCTGGTGAAAGTAGAAAAACTTCTGAGAGATTTAGAACTCAGCCCATTACCTCAGCAGAACGAAAGGAATCAGATAGGTAGGCATGTGTATGTGTAGTTCCATAGTGTAGGAATGCAAAAGAAAAACATACAGGATTTTTAACATGGAGATGACCTAATGCCTTTTAAATGGGATGTGGTGATTCCATAATTCTTCCATATAATCTATAAAGGATATTTATGTGACTTGTATTTTTAAAGAATGTTAACCATGACAACAGTATCATGATGTACAGTTTTAAATTGCATTCAGTGGTAAGAAATAAGCAACATTATTTTTCTTCTAATGTTTTCTAATTTTTATGCCCTTGTTCAATTAGAATCCAAATAGACTATTCACCACAAAATTTTATAGTGAAAAAAATAAGGGATTTTATATTCATTTTATAAATGGCTGCCTACGTGTTGTATCTGTTTTACCTTATCATTCATATGCATAGAAACGATAAGGTTTGTCTAAAAAAATTACCAGTCATGTATCATAAGTCATACTCAATCACTTTTGTTTCCACAAGATGTGCACTTGGCTGGGTTATGTGTAACACACTCCACAGTGTCCGTTAACAACTGTACGTGTATATTCACAGCTAGACTTGCTGGCAGGATGATACTCTTTAGGAGAATTTCACTGAATTTTTCTTTTTACTTTTAATGTGATGCTTTATTTGTACCTTCAATTCCCCCTCTCTAATCTGTTATTATTTGCTAATGTCTCTCCTAGGTCCACTTCAAATTCAGAAGTGCCAGCTGCTGAGGGCAAGTATCTATTCTCTTTTTTCTTCTTCCTCTTCCTGATCTTACCTGGATCAGATTTTAAAAGATTTTTTTTTTCTTTACGAGAAGTTGCAATTATGAAGCATACCAGTTTCTTGTGTGCATGTTTTCTTCCTATGGATATAATGAAACCTAGCTGAGATTTTCAGATTAGTTTTCCCTTATTTTTGACAGGGAACAGTGGAGTGAATGTTAAAACAACTGACTTGAACCAAAGAAGCAGGTTTTCCCTGTTACTTTCTTGTCCCCATTTAAGGACAGAGAGGAGAAATTCCTCCCATAAGATCTATTCTTAAATATCAACTATTTGAATATTATGGTAGAAAATTACTGTCCAGACCTAGTTGTGTTTGGTTAATTGCAATGGAAATTTGCACCTTTTCACAGAGCAGAAGAATGAGTTGCCCCCAAGGAGAACATATTGGCAATTATAATTTTTTAGTACATCTGTTATTACAGTTAAAAGATTTTCAGGTCAGCCTTGGGAAACTTTGTAGAGACTTTACCTACATTTTCTAATGATGTTCAGTTTTTATTTTGTGACTTTCTACAGATGAAGAAAAGGTAGATGAACGAGCCAAGCTGAGCGTTGCTGCCAAGAGGCTGCTTTTCAGGGTAAGGTGTGCTAAGTGCTTGAGGAGACCCCGCCACCCTCCCCGGGGACTCCCGCTGCTCCAGCCTGTTCATGCGCCAGGCCCTGCGGCCGCCTCACTCTGACCCACCTGACACAGCAGGACTGTCCGTGTCTGATGATCGGTGCCTCTCAGGGGCGTCCCTCCTGTCGGTCCTATAAGGCAAACGAGTGAGACATGCTGCTGCCCCAACTTCCTTTCCTCGAACGTGTAAGGATTCCATAATGTTTCTGATCTTAGGAAATGGAAAAATCATTTGATGAGAAAAACGTTCCAAAGCGACGCTCAAGAAATGCGGCCGTAGAGCAGAGGCTGCGGCGTCTGCAGGACAGATCCCACACCCAGCCGGTTACCACTGAGGAAGTGGTCATCGCAGCCACGTAAGTCTCCCTGGTGACCTCTTGGCCTTTGCTGTGATATCTTCTTTAAAAAAAAAAAAAAGAAGTCAAAGTGAGGCAATCAGGCAGTGGTTTAGTTAGAAGCCACAGGAAGCTGGTGTTATGGATTTTCCTTACTGCCATTTCTCGAGACTTTGTAATGGAATGTATTACCTATTGTATCTCCTAGAAGAACATGGAGAGGAATTTTATTTAACTTCTTAAAAATATCTCCTTTACACTGGAAAATGTAAAACGTAAGTGTAGACAGATTGATGTCACGGACCCCCACATCCTCATCGCCCAGTTTCAACAACCATCAGCCCTTGGCCAGTATTGCTCTGCCTCTGTCCCCACCCCCTGTCCCTTTCCTCCTGCATATTTTCAGACAAATCCCAGATGTCATTTCATCCATATATATCTTGGCACATATCTCGAAAAGATAGGGGTTCTTTTTGTTTTTAAATAACCACCAAAAATTTTAAAAATTTAATTAGAAGTTCAATAACTTTCCAAACTCTGGGAAGTGGGCTTTGAGCAGTGTGTTCTAATATAGTCAGAGTGAATTTTCCACATTCATTCATTCAGAGATAATTGCTTCAGTCAAGTAAAAATTTTTTATTTGTTTTTTAACAGTTTTTTCATGCTTGCCCTGGACACACACACACACACCCCCATCCACCTGCCCCTCCTAGAAAACAAGTTTGTCTTATTCCGGGCAGTGACAATCCCAAGAGGCGTCCATGTCCCAGCCCAGACCTGTGACCCTGCTGTTAGATCAGCCTCCTTTACTTCCTTCTCTAGCTGCTCCTCAATTTCTCCGTGTATTTGGGGATAACTACGTCTCGTATGCATTAGGAATTCTCAGCAAATCAGTTTTTTGTGTATTTTTTTGTGTGCAGCTTTTCAAAAATATTTGAGTGGCTGTTGTACCTATGGGAGCAAAACAGTAAATATAAGCAGAAACTATTACCTTACAAGGCTCACTGAATCTACTTTGATGTGCTCAGAGATATATAAGAACACTGATTTTAAAAAAATAGATTGATAACATTCTAAAATGTGGGCATCATCTGATTTGCTGGTAATTGAAAGTAACTTTTATAGGTTATCTTGTTTTTTAAACAAGGACATTTATTCTAAAGATGGAGCAAATCCTTTCATAGCTCTAAAACCCTACTCTTATTCCATTTACTTTGCTTATTTCCTAAACTTGTAATCATTTTTCAAGTTCTTTTGTGATCCTCCCAAAGTAATTAGCAAATAATTTTGTTAAACTATTTGATTTAACACTTCTGAATTGGAAATTGAAAATGATTCTTTCCTTAATGCTTCTTTTCTTCTCTCTTCTTATGAATGTTCCTTCTTTGGCAATTCCTTTTAAAGTGAACCTATCCCTGCCTCATGCTCTGTGGCCACCAACCCTGTAATGACAAGACTTCCTAGTCCCACTGTAGCTCAGAGCACTGTGCAGCCTGCCAGGTACTGAACAGAAATAGCTGCATGCCGCAGTGGGGGCCAAGGTGCTAGACAGCAGATGCATCTTAAAATCTTGAATGCCTTTCATTTGTTTGACAAGTCACTGTAGTGAGTTGTCCTGGGAATGTGTGGTGTTTTGTTTTTTCCTAGTGCCAGACATGTAACTTGATGGAGCCCTGCATGAGAAAACATTTCATCTACCTGCTTACACTGTGTATTGGAACCAAAACCACACTAACTCACTTATCCATTTGTTTTGTCTCTGTTTTTCATAATCGTGGTCATCTTTACATTTTCATTCTTCATCTAAAATATAGCACTTGATAAAGATTACAAGAAAAATGGGGAGTTAACATGAGTATTGAAATTCTGCTAATACTCAGTTTTCTTTAAACACTTGTAGAAACAATTAAATGTCAAAAACAATCCTACCTGTTTCTAATGTATAGAGAGACCATGGTGTGACATTCTGGGATTGGAACAAAAACAATTTATAGCATCTGAACTCAGAGGTTCTACAACTAAACTTTAAATTGTGGTGTTTTAAAATTATATTGTTAAGGCAGGTAAATAGCTCCTCTCTTTTACTGTTATGGCACAAAGGCTAAAAATAAGATGAAAAGAAAGAAAGGGGCAAGACAGAAATAGAGCTGCCACAAATGGAAGCAGGGGCCTCTCCGGGGAGACATTGTGGCTTTATTGCCACCTCATTATAACCTGGAACACAGACACTGCTCTTTTGTCTGGCACAACTTGTGAAGTGGTGATTAACTGGAGTTGGGGCATACTGTACTATTTACTGTATTAGAGAATTGGATGTGCCAGTGGACAAAGGCACATTTTCTTAAACCTTCCAAGATTCCCAATGACCAGGTAATAGGAAGCCTTCTCCTCTCCTTAGAAGTTGGAGGGCTTTGTCGCCATCTGAAATTCCCTTCACATTTCAGATTACTGAATTTCAAGGACCTTTTAAAAAACTAATAGAAAGCCAGTCTGGAGGAGTAAATGCTAGTCTGGAGGAGTAAAAGAATCTTTAAAATTAAACCATTTGCCTTGAGCAAATGCAAATCAAAACGCTGTATTGTAGTGTTGGCAGGATGACAATATTATTTCCTAATTATTTAAAGTGAACAGACTGCCTTCTGAACCACATACGTAGATAATGTCTACAATGCTGTAGAGAATGCCTGAGGGCTCCCTTTAGCATTATTTATTTCTGATACTAACAACACGACTTCTCTAAGGTAAGGTGTACCCAAGCTGACTTCAATTCCTTAAGTAGGAAATTCAATTTTTAGAAATAATTCAGAACTAAAAGTCTGTTCTTTGCAAAATGGGTAATGCCAGTATTCCCAACCTACTCTGCTACTCACTGTCCTATTAACAGCTGAACAACTGCATACACTTGACTTGGATTTCTATAGTGAAAAATAAGCCCTTTTCAAGAGTAAGTGACATTTAGAAAAAGTTAATACACACAATTAGCCTTATGGGGTTTTCTTTGTTTTTTTAATCTGCATCAACTGATTTTTTATCCCTTTCAGATTGCAGGCGTCTGCTCACCAAAAGGCTTTAGCCAGAGAACAGGCAAATGACGGCAAAGATTCTACTGAGCGAGGTGAACCTGATTCCAGCACTCTAAGCTTAGCAGAGAAGCTGGCCTTGTTTAACAAGCTGTCCCAGCCAGTCTCAAAAGCGATTTCTACCCGAAACAGAATAGATGTGAGACAGAGGAGAATGAATGCTCGCTATCAAACTCAGCCAGTCACACTTGGAGAAGTGGAACAGGTGGGTAGACTATAATCTCATTCCAGTCTGCGGTGTGTTCTTAAAATACAGGAGCACAGTGTCACTCCTAGGTTAGCAATGTAATTAAGGTCTGCCTGTGAGCTCTGTTACCTGTAAGTGATTTGGAAATAACTTCCTTCCTAAGAAAGGTAGCCATGCCAAGCATGTTTCTCCTTTCCTCTTTTCCTCATTTGCTTGCTGAAATCTTCTGGAGTGAGTCCATCTTGGAAGGAAAAATAGGACACCCAATCTGCTTTTCACCCAAATGATTTTGATTAATAAGATGCACTCTATAACTGTGTCTCGGATTGGTTCCCACTCGGAGAAGCAGTGAAACTGTGCCACTTGTATTATTTCAGAAGTCAGTGTCAGCCCTGCAACTGGGATTTATGTAGACAGTGTTTTGAAATCAGCTTTTTTACATTTTAACTGTGTCCTCCCAGGTGCAAAGTGGAAAGCGCATTCCTTTCTCACCTACTGTGAGCACGTCTGTGTCCATGGTGGCATCTCTAGTTGCTCCAGTATATGCCGGGGATCTTCGGACAAAGCCACCCGTGGGTGATGGCACAAGTGCCACTGACTATAAGTTTCCCTCTTCGATAGAAAATTTGGACTCTCCCATTAAAAGCATTCTGAAAACCCCAGCCTGGCAGCCTTCAAGAGAGGGTAGTGGGAGCAAACGAATGTTGAGAGAATCTGGAGAGACAGAAAGCAAGAGAGGTGAAGATGGTGGAGTTATGAAGTATGGGTCCTTTGAGGAAGCAGAGCTGCCATCCTACTCCGTCCTGAACAAAGTCTGGGAAAGAGATAGCCTTCAAGAACCCAAATATGCTGTCCTGAGAAAGGGAAGCCTGGAACTAGCCAACCCTCTCATCGCCCATCTTGGGGACGAGCGACAGGAATTTTCCATTGCTAGAAGCACTGCACAAGGGAGCCCAGACTTGAAGGACAGGCAGCCCTTTCAAGAGAAGGTGGGCATGGAGAATGTCATTCAAAGGAAGTTTTCACTAAGAGGTGAGTTACTCCTGCTCCTAAACTTTTAGAAACCAGCTGGATTTTCAGTTTCAGCTTCATTAGTTGCAGTGACTGCTTTTAACCGAATTATGAAGGAGTTAATAACTAGTATTGATTAAAAGTACAGGGTGAGTCCTATTCTCCCCAGACTTCTTTTCCCCTTGAATCCAATGTGTTTGGTGGATTAAGCAAATTTTCAGCAGTAAAAATACTTGAAGCCCATTCACACATCGTTGGGGGAAATTTAATGTTTTTATTTGTATGTTTTTAATTGAAATATAGTTGATATATGCTGTTATATTGGTTTCAGGTGTACAACACTGTGATACCAAATTATATACAGTATGAAATGCTTACCATGATAGATGTAGTTCCCATCTGTCACCATACAAAGTCGTCACAATATAATTGACTATATTCCCTATGCTGTCCTTTCATCCCTGTGGCTAATTTATCTTCTAATTGGATATTTGGGCCTCTTTATCCTCTTCGTCTATTTCCCTCACCCCCCCAACTCTTCTTCCCTGTGGCAATCAGCAGTCCATTCTCTGTGTTTATGAGTCTATTTCTGTTTTGTTTGTTGATGAGGGGTTTTCATAACTTTGTTCACAAAACTCACTAAACAGCTACGTCGGCCCTTTTAATAAACTGATGACCCCAAAGGTCCAGGGCTAGGTAAGTACAGGGCATAAGGACTTGAGTTTGGCCCGTGGGCTTCCATTCTCTCCTTCTGCGTTCCTTTTGTGGAGACCAGCAAAACTATACTCGTGGAACTTTAAATCTCCTACATCTACATTAAAGGAGAAAGGTACAGAGGTGATTTGGTTTGTGCAGTAGCACATTTGAAATGTCCAAGTCCTGTTTTGGAGGAGTAGACACAATCTCTAGTGCACGGTTAAGGCTGATGTCCTGCATCTCGCACATAGAGAAAGACCCAACTGTCACAAAACAATTTACTGTGTTGGAATAATCTCTAGAAAGTTTGGTTTTCTCACAGAGCGAAGCAAGCTACAGATTTGCATAAATTCAGGGGATTGGGTAACCCACCACGTGCCAACGAGTGAACTCCAAAGGGTGTCGGGGGTGAATAGCTGAAGAATGTTTGCTGGGAAGAGTAAATGCTGACATAGCTCCTTCCCTTCCCAGCAGCAGAGGTCGGGGAGCCCACTTTGGAGCAGTTGGGCTCAGCTGCTGGGGAAACTACTGCTCAAACTGCAACTCCAGTGTCCTGGAAGCAGCAGGGCCCTCCCGAACAACCACAGGAGAAGCACCCCAAGAACCCATGTACGGTGTTCGCTGCCGGGGAGATGAGAGCACCGACCGTGGAGGGCGATTCGCCCAGCAAAACCATGTCGATTAAAGAAAGGTAATAAGATCTCCTGATTGAAAAGTAGTTCTGTTCGGGAAGAAATTACAAATTGCTTTTAGAAAAAAGACCTGAGTTACAGACAAAGAGATGAAATCACAAATCCGACGGCCCAAGGGGATGGTAAGCCTGGGAGGATACCAGTTTCTGACTCAGATGAGAGAACAAGCAGAAAATGACTTTTGCAGGCTTTAGTTGTTTGCGATTCTATTTTCTTCTTCATATTAAATTCTTTGACTCTAGTGAGGGGGGGCAGAGGTCTTGGCTCCTTCAGATGCACATGGCTTCAGATTGAAAGCACCACTGCTTATAACTATTTGTGTAAAATAGATGCAGAGGGAATACAGATAAATTCTTATTTAGGACAGAAATCTTTGGGATCAGAATCGGAAGTTTGCTTATTTTATTTACAAAAGTAAAATGGATGACTTCTCTGAACTGCATTTAAAAATGTATCAGGCAATAGCTATGAAAGATTACATCTGAGTATCAAATAACAGCGTAACCTCGTTTCATTCAAAAAATAATAGAGGATTGAGAGAATATATTTAAGTGGGACAGACACAATGAATCAGAGCTAAATATTTTGGGTTGTCTTTTCCTTGTTGACATGGTGGAATTAAGCAGCAAACAATGTAATAGTAATGGGAATACTGGAAGATGAAAGATGTCATTGTCTTCCCGGTGTGATGAGCAGAACTATTTCTACCATCAGCTGATTAGGGATCTGCCTTCCTGGATACTTGGCACCTCCCACCATTCAGGGGTTCTCTTGCTCTGTCGAGAACAGGCCACTCTTTCTTTTCTGGATACATTTCAAACTACCTAAGAATATATATCAAACCATGATGAAAATTCTTCATTGTTTTTCAAGCCAAGCATCTTGAACAGGATTCATGAAATATTCAATAGACGGAGCCTTTTTCAACTAACGGGTTAGTAAGATTGTCAAGTCTTTTTTTTTGAAGCAGAGTAAAAGCTTTATTTAAAGTTACTTAAAGAGAGAAGAAATGCAGCCGGTAACCTCAGCCAGGAGAGGCACCCTGAAAGGTTGGAGACAGAAAGTGTAAGATTAAAAGTGTACATACTTCAAAAGTGTGGACCACCTCAGCGCCCCCTGAAAGGTTGAAAAGAGAGTTTAAAATTAAAAGGTTATGCACTTGGAAAGTGCACGTGACCTCAGAGAGAGGAGTGCCAGATTGTTAAGTCTTAATGACTTTCACCTTAACTTATTTAAAATGCACAGTGAATTAGACCTACTAGACTGAGGCACAGGTGAAGGGGCTGATGGGTCAGCTGGGTGAAGGAGTGATATCTTGAATCAGGGAAGCTGTCTGTTGGATATCGGCATGAAGCCCTCCTCCATGCAAACCCAGCTCAAAGAGAATTTGATCCCAGAGACCCAACTATTGGTAACTGGTTAGGGGAGAAGGAAGAGGCATTGTTGAAGGAAATTAATTATGAACATCACATACACAAGTTCTGATGTTTTGTACATCAGAAAACATTCCTGGAGTGAAATTCCAGTGAAAATGCTAATATTCTTCCTTCTTTCAAATCTCAAAGGAGACTTGCCATCTTTGGGTATAAGATGACTGTTGGGACTTAGAACCTTGGGTGAGGAGTTTTGTGTCTATTTGCCCTGTAATAATTCTTGATTTCTTTGCCTGTTTTTAGTACATTTGAGTTTTCTGTTTCTTTCTGAAAGCAGTTTTAATCCTACTGCAAAATTCTCATTTTTAAAAAATGGGAGTTGCTATAAAGATGCAGCTTCTTAGCCCAGGCTTCATGGGTGGTCTGAGGAGTTGATGATTGTCTGTAAGCTTTCTGTGATCTGCCTAGAAGTGTGTTCAAAATCCACCCTGGGTGCACTGCCACCTTCTGGCTAGTGAGAGAAGGACTTTTTCACTGTCTCTAAGAGGTGTCTGAGCCCCAGTCTGTTCAGAACCATGATAGGAAGGGACACTTCAGCTATTCAGTTTGTTAATATATACGCTTAAAAATGGATGAGGGACATTTTACTTGGCAACTATGTTTGTAATAAAGGGTATGTTAATACAAAATTAATTGCCGGTGACCTTTGCCCCTTATCACGATAGTACTGTTACTTGCACTCTGCTGAAATAAAACTACATATGTTTACAAGCCATCGGTGTCAGCCTTTCCTAATGTGGGGCTTTAATTACTCCCTTCTGTTAAAACGAAATAATGAAGCTTGGTCTATTTAAAAGAAGATTGCTCTTCATATATTTATATGGGCTTTATGTTTCCTTTTTGAGGTGACATATAAAGTAGAACTTTTAAACCTTATTCTAACTTCTGTGACTACCTCATTTTACCATATAAGAGGTTTGGTTCCAGTGGCCACTGGGAAGTGGGAAGTGGAACCAACCCCAGGTGCTAGTCCCCAGCTTGCCCTGGCACCTGTGGCAGGATGGCCAAGTGTTCAAATGAATGTTTAGCAGCCAACCTGTTTGTTCATTCTGCTAGAAGTGGGTACAGGAAACATTAGCTGGCCAGCAGGGAGACTTTACCCTCTTCTTGCATTAATTTTCTCAACTCGTGTGTCCTCTGCTTGGCTTGTTTCAAATTTCACTTTTGCTTTATTTGAGACTCTAGGAAATAGAGATTGGACTTGGTGGATTTCTTTTATCACATTTTCTAAATGGCTGCAGCCCGAGGAGTCGATCCCGCCGTCCTCCACCTTGTGTGTCCGTCCCTCTCCTCGGTTCTAGAGCACGCCGAGCTCTCTGTACAAGGACCGCCGAGGCTCCGCACTGTCCTTGGCACTTCTTGTGTGTCACCTCATTCAGTGCTGAAGACAGCCCCCGAAGGAGGCGCTGCTACCCCATGTCGTACATGTAAACCGAGACTTAGAACATGGAGCAACCTGGAAAGGACAGGAATCCCCAATGTAGTCCACTTTTAAGATTATGTGTGATGCTCAAGGAAGCACATCTAAAAGCTCCTTTTCTTTTTTTTTCATCTCTCTGACACCTAGAATATCAAATTTGAACCATAACCAGCATCAAATTTAGGACACAATCTGCTTTTTTCACTGGATTAGTAAAATCACTGTTTCATAACTACCTAAATATTTTGGGTTTAAATTCTCCCTGTTGGGTATTTTGCTGAAAACATTGTAAATCAATAAAGTATTATGTTATATAGAGATAAAACCTTTGATGCCTCTTTAAAAGTGTATGAGGCGTTCAGAAATCTTACCTCCACAACTGCTGAAATAACTACGTTTATGCTCTCAGATTTGGGAGAGATTACTAGAAATGGCTAAAGGGCCATCCTTCCACTGGGAAATTGGTGACATGTAAGTCAGGACTTACTTGAACTCCCTGGAATGCTGACGGATCCACCTCATGCCTCTTGCCAGCCTGCAGAATTCTTCCTTAAAGGGGTTGGCAGAGGGCCCCCTGTCGTCCCCAAATAACCCTCAGCCCACCTGTCTACTCTTCAGCCAGCCGGAGGTTGTACCCATGCTTCCACAACAGACTTGAGGTCCTAACCTTGGAGCTGGGAGATTGCAGCCACCAGAGGGCCCCCAGACTTATCTAAGAATTGGGGAAAGCAGTGTCATTGCCTTTTGCTGGCTCCTTTTCAGATCTTTGATTTGTCCCCATATAAAAAACATATCAGATTACTCTTCCAGCCTGCAAACTACCCAAGACTAAGATCTGATATAAGAACAGATAAGTGCTGTTCAGCCTTATCTGAAATCTGTGTGGTGCCTGTGACTCTCTGAAATGAAGGAACATTTTTAAAGGGGGGAGAAAAAAACGTATTTAAGATCAGGGGCACATGGTTTGCCTGCCCGTATTTGACCCCACCTTTACTGGCATGAGCCTTCAGAACTTGCTCTAATCAAGTAGGATGCTCTCAGACCGGTCCTGCTGAACACAACTGTCTCAGGCAAGTATTCCTTGCTGGCAAAGTGGGTAGACATTACCCCAGGTAGCCCAGCAAGTGTACATCGTGATGACCCTGGGCCAGGCCTTCAGGTTAATAGGCTAACAAAGTGCCACTCACTAGGTTCTCAGCCTCAGATGAAACAGATGCCCTGGCTCTCAACATCACAGCCCTGCAAATGGCACTTGGACTTGGCAGATGTTGAAAGTGCTGACAGCTGTTTGAATTGCATAGGCAGTAATTTATGTCATGTGTAGGACCAGACTTTTCGCTCTTTGGCCCTCACTCGTGCATGGTGGTCTGTGGTGAGTCAGGGGGGCCAGGAGATTTCAGGGGGTGGAATGCCTTTGGAAAGGTCTCCTGCTCTCCTCAGCTTGCTGAACACCCAATAGAAAATCTAAAGGGCTAGGAATAAACACTTAAGTTTTGCTGCATGTTATTTTTAAGTCATCCACATCAGCACTCTGCATGCAGGCCAGGGCTGGGTCTGAGTACCATGTGGGCTCAACTGAAACACAGTCCTTCCATATTATTTTGGTTACTCTGTAGTCTTTGGAAGTATCTGGTCACCTAACATAACAACATAGTAAAACAAGCCATGTGCTGGGAGCAGCCTGCCTGGGATGGAAACATATCTCCCTGTTCCACTGACATGCAGTGTGACCTCAGTCAACGAAATCCTTGGCTTGTGTGTGCACCCATGGCTCACCTGTTACCCTGAGAACAACAATATCCAGTTTCTCAGAGGTTGCCAGGCAGTTCAGCAGAGTATAAAGTGGACTGTAAAATGATTACAGATTCCACAATTTGTTGTTTCTCTTACACAGTTTTACATTCCTCAAAGCAGCCACCAAGGAAACCATATGATTATTTAATTATGTTGTCATTGCTCCAAACATTTGGCAGCTGCTTCTTTGAAGACACCTTCAAAGACTGTAGCACATTTTTAATGTGCTACATACAACTCATTAATCCCAGTGTACACAGATAAATCTAAATTTTTTAAATTCCCAAATCATTTGGAATCCAATCTGATTAAAAAGGTAGATGGCCAAGGTGAAAAACTAGTGGTCTGGGTCAAAGGTGAAATAGGAGACAGAAGCTGATTCTGAGGCCAGTTTGCAAGGAGAATATCCGTGAGATGAAGGTCTCTTATCACAAGATGACAACTTGGAAGCACACCTTCATATGGGTGTGGAAGTACAGGTGTGCTTATTTTTGAAAATCTTATTTATAGATACTTTAAAACCTTTGAAATACTAATGGTCTCTTTTTGTGATTTGATTTTACTAGATCATTTTTTGTCAGAATAAAACTGACTCAGAATAATTGGAGAAAAAATGAATCTTAGTCATTATATAGTCTGACATTCAGATGAAAACATAGGTATTTAGAATTTGTTTTTAAGTACATGAACTAGCTAGCCCTTCTAGCATGTTGAATATTGTCAAACATTATATATGATAGGATTTAGGAATAAGGGGGACTTAAAAGGGCCTGTCCTAGTAAGATTCTAATTTCCAGGATGGGTTTTCTCCCTTACCACCAATTCTCTGACATCAGCAGGTGTCCTATAATTCAGCTCATTTCTGACATTGTCTACCTGGAGATGAGATCATAACATCAGATCCCACAGGCTCAATCCTGCAAGACTTCCCCAGAAGGTTATCACCAGTGCTTGTGACCCACCACTCCAAAAGCCCCCACCTTGGGTTTGGGTTAATTTGCTAGAGTAGCTCAGAACTCACAGGAACATTTTATCTCCTAGATCTCTAGCTAATTCTAAACATACATAACTCAGGAATAGCCAGCTGGAAGAGGTGCATAGAAGAAAGTATGGGGAAGGGTCCCAGAGCCTCCACACCATCTCCAGGCTCACCCCTTTTTCCAAACCTCCATGTGTCCACCAACCCAAGAGCTCTCTGAACCCTGTCCTTTTGTTTTTTTATGGACGATTCATTATGTGGGCATGATTGAGTTCAACTGCCTATGGCAATGATTTAATCAATCTCCAGCACCCCCCTTCCTTGCCCAGAGACCAGGGGTTGAGACTAAAAGTTCCAACCTCCAATCACAAGGTTGGCTCTCTGGGCAACCTGCCCCTGCCCTTCAGTGCCTCCCAAAAGTTCCCTCCTTAATAGAACAAAGACAACTTCATCACTGTCATAGCTTATGAAATTCCAAGGGTTCTAGGATCTCTGTGCCAGGAAAGGGGACAAAAGCCAAGTATATATATTTTATTATAAATCACAGTATCACAGGTAGGTAAGGTGGCATTATACCAGTTTTATAGGATGGGAATTTGAGGTCTTATTAGCAGTCACATAGAGGAAAGAAAGGGAAGGAAAAGGAAGGATTGGCAGAGGGGATAAATGCAGAGTGCAGAGCTCCTGCCCTCTTTGGGGAGTACTTGTTTTCATGGCTTACTTCCCATTATTTGACTGAATTGATGAGTATAAGGCATGTTTGTGCATACATTTGTAGGTGTAAATGGATTCTTATTTGAGTCCTGAAAAATTTTTCCTATTTGCAACAGAGTATGATATATTTCATCCCATCTTTACTTTGACTTTTTAGTGGCATCTGGAAACTTAGTTGAAAGATTCTTAGAAACTATCTTGTCCCGGCCAGGCTACTTGGCCAGTGCTGGCTTAGTAGCCAAACCAAAACTGATATGCCACTTAAAAATACAGTGGTTAAAGATGGGCATTAATGATATATAAAAGACCCAGCCCAGCAGGCTCAGCAGAGAAGGAAAGGGGTCTTAGCGTTTTTTCTTCCCCAATCTTTAAATTATTTGAGCATTATTTCAGATGAGTTTGATGAGCACCACTCTTTTGTCTTTTATCTTTCCCATGTTTGGCCAACTTAAATACCCAAGACTTCTTCATTCATTTAAGTTAACTGCCATAGCCTCACACTCATGAAGAAAACCTTTCACAGATTATAACACCCCAGCAGCTTTCTATCAAGTCATCCATGGTTGAACCAGAACAGGCTAGGTCAAAATCTCAGTTAATTAGGTTCTTTTTTTGTATGTAGCTTTCTTCATGAGGAAAGTTGAAGTAATAATTTTAAAGATGAGTTTGCAGAGAATAGTTTCTGTATTAAGATAGATTGGGAAAACCAAGTGAATGTGGAGGAAAAGAACAAGGTTTAGATAAAGGAAGAGAAGTAGTCTTAAATATTGTCTTTTACCTTTGACTGAAGGTATGATACTAAAGAGACTGTCAAATTTTTTATAGCTTTAAGTTTCTAAACCCATTTCTGCTTTATTTTCTGCAAATAAGCACGATCCAAGTTGCATTAAATGTTATTTTATTAAGTGACCAGAAGGGTCACTAGAAGACATTTTTCTCTGGGATGATTACTTGTATCTTATCGCTCTCAACTCAAGGGCAAAGAAAAACAGATTTATTCCTTTGGTAAAATGATAGTGCTTCTTATCAGGCAGGTCAGGTTTCAGCTTTGCATTTCAGTCAACTTTAAAATCTTTGGGGCCATCATAAGAAAAGGGACTCTGATGTTATGTTTCCAGACATGCTTTTTTTTTTATTAAGATATCATTGATATACAGTCTTATGCCCAGGTTTCACATGAGCAACATTGTGGTTACTACATTCCCCCTATTATCAATGTTTCCAGACACTCTTAAGAATAAATTGAAACTCAAAAAGATTAATTTTAGGTAGCTGTGGTCATTTATTGGCCAAAGACATCTAACTTATCTAAATTATGGTTCTGTTACAAATAAGGGTTTGGTGCTGAATTCTTTTTGGTTGGCATGTTTTCCCCTTAGATTAGCACTGTTGAAGAAGAGCGGTGAGGAAGATTGGAAAAATAGACTTTCCAGAAAGCAGGAGTATGGCAAAGCGTCTGTCACTAGCAGCCTGCACATGCAAGAAGTGGAACAGTCGCTCAAGAAGAAGGTAACATTTTCCATGTTAGGAAAAAGCCATCTAACTAACGTCACGCTTGGAAGTGCACCAAACAGGCAAGCATGCTAACTTACCTAATTACCACTCTGTGACACTTTTGCGCTTTCTTGCCATTTGGGGACACACTTAAAGTCTGTCACACAGCAGCTGAAACTGATCAGAAAGGTAAGGTCTTAAGATGTTACAGAACTGGTAACAGACCTGAATACATAATGCATCAGCAAGCAAGTTTTTGAGTTTTGAAGTGTGTACTTTGGCTTAAAATCTTCAAATGAAGTCTGACCTTACAATGCTATTTACAGCCTTTATAATGAAAAAAACTTTAACTGACCATTAACAGTTTATTGCATATAAAATATGGACTTGAATGTCCTATGCTGAAATTTAAAGCTTAAGTGTATTAAGGGCATAATTGTGGTCAGCGAGCTTATTTCATAATTGTAGGCTTGTCTCACAATGAGCAGGTGTTGCTTTTATTGAGCATGTACAACAAGATATGTTACAATTTAAATAAAATAAAGTAGTACATTGTTATCAATACTGGCAAGAATTTCATATGCAAAAGTTGATGAATTGTTAAATTACTAAGGTAGCGGTGACCAGCTTTTGATCAGTTAGTGCACACTTTCAAAGCTGATGGTGACTTTTCTGCTGCTTGGCTCTGTGGTTGCAGTGCCCATCTGGGCTGGAGGCAAGGTCCACAGCCACTGGTCAACTTCTAGGATCAATAGTCTTGCAACAAAAAAGAAAAACAAAAAAACACTTCCAACAGAATGAAGACCTGGATCCCTCTTAGTTCTAAAAGCATCTGTGGAAGGGAGAAATTATGAATGTGACCTTTTCACATTGTGAACCTTGCATAGAAAGGAGGTGTGCAGGCAGTACTGTGTAGCAGGAGTTTTGACTCTATTTTACATCTCTTTTTTGAGACATAAATGACATTAAAGATAACATGAAAGACATTTAATTCCCATTGTCTTGTAAAGTTCTCAAGTACCATTGAATATTAAAAAGCTTATGTGTGAAAACTGGATTTCAAGAATGATATCCAGAAGTGCAAGAAAACCGGGTCCCTCAATTTATCCCCATGGCCCATAGACTTGATTTAAAAGGGTCTTCAAATCCTTGGTTCAAAAAATAACTTTAACACTTACCTCTTATTGGTCATTTTGGAGGAGCTGATAGTCCTGTATGGCCAGGTAATAATTAAAATAAAGTTACAGAGCACACACCCAGGCAGATTCCTCATGAGCAGTGGCATGAGATACTCAACCCCTTAGAAGGCTGAGGGATCATGTGAGCAGGGGAAATCTCCTGTGTGTGGAGGAGGAGGTCCGAACTGCCTCAAAACTTGGCAAAGGTTTTTGGAAGTCAAGAGATGGGAGGAGGTTACCACAGTTGCCCCTCGGGGGAACAACCCAGTCACTGGAAGGGAGGGGCTCAGAGCGTGGCTGGGGCATGAGTGTGGCATGACATCTCCAGGCTAATGGACACCGCAGAGTCCGCAGCAATAGTGAACTCGTTATTCCCCCTCTTCAGCAACCCAGTTCACTTTGGCCTAAGACAATAAGCACTTTGAACTTAAAATAAGCCAGATCTTTTTTAGGCTTTTGTAACAGACATTGGCAATCTCAGGTTCTGCCGAGGTCAGGTGGTTTTCACGTGGCCTCTGATAAGCCCTTGGCTTTATTTCTTCCCAAGGCTGGCACTGTATTTCAGCCACACTTTGGCTGTGCTCAGATGTGGTAGGTGAGGTGCCTTAAACTTGATCTGTCTTAAGATAGCCCCCAAACAGCTGATAAGTGCTTGAGAAACACCACAGCTTGCTGGCTGGCTGGAATGCTGCCCCAGAGGAGGAAGGGCATTCCTGACATATGAGGCACATGCAGATGAGGCTTGGCACATGCACTGGGACCCAGACATGCAGAAGGAGAGCAGCTTAGGAGCCAAGCTCTGGAACCTTCCATCTTTTCCAACAAGGGTGAAAGGGAGCTGGTTGTACAGTCAGGCTATCACTTCCTGCACAGTTTCTGAATTCATCAGCAGTACATACCCGTGGTTACTACATATTTTACAGTTTGCCCTCCTCTTTTGTGTGTGGTAAGCACAGCTCCAATGAGTTGTAGCCTTTGGAAATGCAGAGGAGACAGGAAATTGAGATGGGACTCTGCATAAATCACTTCCACTGCCCCCTTCAAAACCCCTGCTGTCCAATAAAAATACAATGTGAGCCACATAAGTAATTTGAGACTGTCTAGGAGTCCCGTTTAAAAAACTGAAAAAGGATGCCTTGAAAATCTGTTAACTGTTTTGCTTCTCTCAAAGGTTTTGTCTCCACACACACAAAAATTAATGGTGCTCTAACCAGCATCTCATTTTGAATCCTAGATGGTAAGAAAATATTCTTTTGGCCCGTGAATAGACTTGGGGAACTCATTGAGTTTTCCTTTCCCTCCTAAAAGATCAGTCCTGCTCTGAGAATACAGTACTTCACACTTCCTTGCTATCCAAATTTATCCCCCCAAATCAGGACTGATGATTTGGACCTTAGGTGGGAAGCTCCTCATTTACCTGCCTGACTCAAATCTCCTGCGACACACAGTTTGGGTTCTTCCTCTCTCCTTTTTCTTCCTTTCTCTCTCCTTTGCCACCCTTCATCTCTCTCCTTTCTCCTGTTCTTCATTTAGTCTAGGGCATTACTAACCTGCCTTTCACATTTTTTGCTTTTGTAACATATATAATTAGTTCTAAAGATGGTAAAGCCATTTGGTTTGTAGATTTGGCCTGGTCCATACCGTGTGGAGTGCAAGCACTAAAGCCTAATCCGTGGACAGTTTCTTCCAGAGTAACTCATGCCATCAAGAGAGAGAGAAATGAAGCGAAGCAGTTTTATAGAAGTCATTTGGCAGGAGTCTCTTGGCTGCAACTAAATTACAGTTATTTATTTTGACCAAATAGTTATTTGAAATTCCAACCCCATCTTGGCATATTTGACACTGAAGCATATTTAGCAACTCCCATGCCCTTTTGTTAGGATAATCATCTAGTGTATCAGACCTCTTCTAGGAAATNATGAACATCACATACACAAGTTCTGATGTTTTGTACATCAGAAAACATTCCTGGAGTGAAATTCCAGTGAAAATGCTAATATTCTTCCTTCTTTCAAATCTCAAAGGAGACTTGCCATCTTTGGGTATAAGATGACTGTTGGGACTTAGAACCTTGGGTGAGGAGTTTTGTGTCTATTTGCCCTGTAATAATTCTTGATTTCTTTGCCTGTTTTTAGTACATTTGAGTTTTCTGTTTCTTTCTGAAAGCAGTTTTAATCCTACTGCAAAATTCTCATTTTTAAAAAATGGGAGTTGCTATAAAGATGCAGCTTCTTAGCCCAGGCTTCATGGGTGGTCTGAGGAGTTGATGATTGTCTGTAAGCTTTCTGTGATCTGCCTAGAAGTGTGTTCAAAATCCACCCTGGGTGCACTGCCACCTTCTGGCTAGTGAGAGAAGGACTTTTTCACTGTCTCTAAGAGGTGTCTGAGCCCCAGTCTGTTCAGAACCATGATAGGAAGGGACACTTCAGCTATTCAGTTTGTTAATATATACGCTTAAAAATGGATGAGGGACATTTTACTTGGCAACTATGTTTGTAATAAAGGGTATGTTAATACAAAATTAATTGCCGGTGACCTTTGCCCCTTATCACGATAGTACTGTTACTTGCACTCTGCTGAAATAAAACTACATATGTTTACAAGCCATCGGTGTCAGCCTTTCCTAATGTGGGGCTTTAATTACTCCCTTCTGTTAAAACGAAATAATGAAGCTTGGTCTATTTAAAAGAAGATTGCTCTTCATATATTTATATGGGCTTTATGTTTCCTTTTTGAGGTGACATATAAAGTAGAACTTTTAAACCTTATTCTAACTTCTGTGACTACCTCATTTTACCATATAAGAGGTTTGGTTCCAGTGGCCACTGGGAAGTGGGAAGTGGAACCAACCCCAGGTGCTAGTCCCCAGCTTGCCCTGGCACCTGTGGCAGGATGGCCAAGTGTTCAAATGAATGTTTAGCAGCCAACCTGTTTGTTCATTCTGCTAGAAGTGGGTACAGGAAACATTAGCTGGCCAGCAGGGAGACTTTACCCTCTTCTTGCATTAATTTTCTCAACTCGTGTGTCCTCTGCTTGGCTTGTTTCAAATTTCACTTTTGCTTTATTTGAGACTCTAGGAAATAGAGATTGGACTTGGTGGATTTCTTTTATCACATTTTCTAAATGGCTGCAGCCCGAGGAGTCGATCCCGCCGTCCTCCACCTTGTGTGTCCGTCCCTCTCCTCGGTTCTAGAGCACGCCGAGCTCTCTGTACAAGGACCGCCGAGGCTCCGCACTGTCCTTGGCACTTCTTGTGTGTCACCTCATTCAGTGCTGAAGACAGCCCCCGAAGGAGGCGCTGCTACCCCATGTCGTACATGTAAACCGAGACTTAGAACATGGAGCAACCTGGAAAGGACAGGAATCCCCAATGTAGTCCACTTTTAAGATTATGTGTGATGCTCAAGGAAGCACATCTAAAAGCTCCTTTTCTTTTTTTTTCATCTCTCTGACACCTAGAATATCAAATTTGAACCATAACCAGCATCAAATTTAGGACACAATCTGCTTTTTTCACTGGATTAGTAAAATCACTGTTTCATAACTACCTAAATATTTTGGGTTTAAATTCTCCCTGTTGGGTATTTTGCTGAAAACATTGTAAATCAATAAAGTATTATGTTATATAGAGATAAAACCTTTGATGCCTCTTTAAAAGTGTATGAGGCGTTCAGAAATCTTACCTCCACAACTGCTGAAATAACTACGTTTATGCTCTCAGATTTGGGAGAGATTACTAGAAATGGCTAAAGGGCCATCCTTCCACTGGGAAATTGGTGACATGTAAGTCAGGACTTACTTGAACTCCCTGGAATGCTGACGGATCCACCTCATGCC